GGGGTTCGGGCTGAAAGGGTTAAAGGTCGTTCAACATCAAGGAACAGAAAAAAGTATGACTTTGATGAGGGAAAAATAAGAAAGTAACGTCTTGTATTTTTAAGAAGGTTAGTACTTAACTGCACTTTGAATATTTCCAATGTTTTGACGCAAAGAGATCATGACAAAAGTAACAGTAAAACAGGGAAAGAAGATAAGATAAGATAAAAATACATCTTTATAGTCCAGATTCTGGCACATTGGTTTGGTATTTCACCACATGTACACACACACACACACGCACACACACACACACATTGGCTTACAATCAGATGAATAATATAAATGAGCAGCGATATAAACAATAATAATCTTAAGATATACAAACTCAATGTTAAATGATGCATACTCTAAGGTCATAAGTATACTTATACAAGATGGTTAAGATGGAAGCATTTTGATAGATGATGGTAAAAATGACCTTCTATATCTCTCTTTGGTACAAATCAGAAGCCAAGGTCTTTTACTTCTGACTGATGTTTTTATTAGAGGGAACAAGGGATGTTTGTTGGCTAAAAAGATGGAATTAATTTTTTTAGTGCAAGCTGTTATGTACAGTTCATCCACGTAGGGGAATGTAGATGTTGAAATTTTACATGCTTTCTGTATTAATCGATTTAATGTTTCTTTATCTTGTTGGGGGTCTTATGTTCCCGGCCCATGCTGTTATACAAAAGGCGATCCAACTTTCTATGGTTGAATGGTAGAATATGGACATCGTTTTATCAATTTTAAAATACTTTATCCTCCTTAGAAAAAATAGTCTTTTGTTCACTTTTTTATGAAGGAGAGAAGTGTGGACACGCCAGTTGAGTTTGTTGTCTATTGTAACACCCAAATACTTATAGTCTGATACTTGCTCGATGTTTTCACATTTAATTTCGAGTGGTTGCAGGGGCAGTTTCTTTATTCTAAAATCAACAACTAGATCTTCTGGGTTTTTTTACATTTGAAAGCAGCTTATGATTTTCACACCATTCAGAAAAGTTAAGTACAAAATTCCGGTTAACGGTTTTGTTATGGTCAGCCTGAATTAGCCCAATTATGGTTGAATTATCAGCAAATTTTATCAACTTGATGTTACTGTTGTTTATTTGGCAATCGTTCGTGTATAGTGTGAATAAAACGGGTGACAAAACACATCCTTGAGGGGCCCCTGTATCAAAGTGAACACACCCGGTCGCCACAGAGTAGCGCCCAATCACACCAGACGTAACAGACTTCAAACCCCCCCCCCCCCCCCCAGAAAAGCAGCCCATCCATCAAACAGCACAGAGGTTAAAAAATTTTCTGACCTATCAGGAAAAATGAATGCCTGTTCAGTGTCAGAATTTGGATTAAACTGGTGAATTCTATCAAAGATTATTTCCAAAAAGTCGTTTCATATTTAAGCTGGACAGCCTTAAACCTAAGGCGTACTTATTACTATGACATCGCAGACACACACTACTGAAGTTTTATAGTATTTTATCACTTTGTTTAATAACAATCAAAAAATGTTTTCAAAAGAAGCTGTATGTGTTTTACACCCCTAATAACACACTTTAAATAATTTAAGAGGCAAAGTGGTTCATCCCTGAACGTCAGGGCCAACCTGGGCTCAGTGGAAGACAGACAGCATCCCAGCAGACAGAGAGAGGTGTTTGATAAACCTACATTACGGTCTGATGTCATATGAACGACATGAAGAGTAATAGAATAAGCTTTAGATTTCTAGTATTGTTGTATCATTACTGAATTGACTTGTTATGAAAAGAGGCAAGCAGTACATCTGGACGACAACAACAACAGAAAAAACCCCCAGAGAAGCAGACAGAGCCAGCCACACCTGTGCATGGTACACAGCGTGCCAACTAACAACACCTTTCAGGTGAGAAAGTTAAGGAAAAGCAAAAAATACAAGATGCTAACTTACAAATGATACCCATAGCCCCGGGCCTTACGGTACAATGAACAGTCACTAACCCTCTATGCTCATGAAAAGTGCAAAGGGCATGAGATCAAAATCAAGACCCATCAACCATAAATACTGTAAAGAAAAGGTAAGAACATACACTAGCCGGCAAATTTGCTTGAGTAAGTCAGAAATACCAAAAGAGGAAGAACGAAACGAAAGTGAGACTGGTCAACCCAGACGATAAATGGGTTAGGCGTGCAGGTAAAAAGAAACCAGGCAAAGGGCAGGTAACTGTCACCTCATGGAAATTACTGTTAGAAGGCGAGCCAGAGTTAGAGTTACTGGCAGCCGAGTTGGCAGCAGGCACCCTAGGGCTACTCATATTGAGAAACATTACTTCTTCCCCATCCTCCTCCTCCTCCTCCTCCTCCTCCCTGTGCAGGGACTGAAACTTGTGTTGCTGAAAACAAGGCCATAGACACGGGAACAAGTCAGCAAGACTGCCAAGGCTGTAGTGTGTCAATACAAACATACGTGTTCACATACATGCTCATATGCAAGCACGCTAACACAGAAATAGACATACACATACACACACATATAGGCCATAGATATGAGTATACATCAACACGACATGCACACACATACATACAGACACATACACACAGGCTCACTAATGTGTGCACTCGCATGTGCACACAAGCTCATACATACACATGATACAGACACAGACATACATACACGTACATACACACATTCCATACATACGCATAAACAAACACAACATCTAGACATGTGAAATGCAACTCAGAAATAACCAAGCACTGACTTGAGGTGAACTACGCTGTAACAAAACTGCCATACAAAACTGAAGGAACAACAGTAGTTGGTCAACGTGTGTAACGTCTGCTATCATGCTTGCAAAGAAAATTATTACAGTATTAAGACTACAAAAATGATATGCAATAAAAAAAAAATTTCTGATGCAAAAGGTTAGTGCATTAGTCCATGACTCTAAGACTAAGAGCAAATCTTTTGTTCAAACAAATTAATAATCTTTTATACTTCTTAAATTCCAATGGCAAAATCCAAGTAAATGAAAGTTTTTCATCCAATTTTCCCCACAATACAAATCTGTAATATCTTTCTGTGGAGGTTTATTTGTTCTATTGATTGTTCTTGTCCAACACATTCATCAATTCGTATTGTACGTCGGGTGAAACTTATTAGAGTTTAACTACAAGCAGCGTCAAAAACCTTTCACAGTATGCCCAATAATGTTTAAGAAAGATAGTGAACATAAATTCAAAATGGTCCGTCAAAAGCAAAAAGTATATTTTCTGGAACGGTTTTCCGGCTTCACAGGAAAGTTGCACATTTTTCCTTCACTGACATTGCATGGGTCAAGGATTGGAGTGAGATTACTCTTATGGTGGACTCACAAAATCTAGGCCCATTTGTTAATTTTTTTTGGGACATATTAAATTGGCCACCATAGCAGTTCTAAAAAGTCTAGGCTATTTTCACACAGCAAACAAAACATGCGAGTCGCTTTCACAACACAGCACTTCACTTGTTGTTATCGATCCAGGCTTTGGTGCTGGGGGAAACTGAGCACTTATGGACCTGTCCGGTATGCAATGACGTTGTTGCCCAGGACAGGTAATAATAACAGGTAATCGATCCAGGCATGCACTTGTAAGACTGAGAGTATACAGTTGTAAGTCGAACTACAAGGAAAAGGGCAGAGGAGCAAAAACTGGTCAAACGTCCATTTCCAATACAATCAAGCCAAGGGGAAGGAGAACAGTGGCAACCCCTCGCACAAACCACGCCCGGGAATGCTGCTCTGGGGAATCAAACCAAGGCCGTCCACTACACAGTCAAGCACAGACATCAGCTGATGTAACTGAGCACCAGAACACGACACAAGGATATTGTCGCTGTCACAAGAAAAATGAGTGACTCTGTTTGACCTTGCTTTGAGTTCAGTTTGAGTACGAGTTTAACAGAACTTGCAAACACATGTAGGTCATGTTGTTGTTGTTTTCAAATCCCTTTAGCTGCGACCATTTCGCTCTTGACAGCGCAATGCCTCCCTCAAGTAACTACGTGTCCTTGTCATCTGGCCAACGCCAAAGATATGTAGGTCATAATAGTGCCAAAAGTTAGAGGTGTTACAAGAGAGTAACATATTAAGGAAAGAAAGAGGAGAGATAAGAATGATAGATGCCTGAAAAGAAAGAAGGAGCAAACACGCCAAAGCACCATGACCTTGTCTTATAGTATAAGGTGTGTGAAAAATTGTTGGAGTTACTTATTTCGAGTGACAGCGACAGTATACAATACTTCTAGATCACCCTGGATTAGCATTGTTGTTCCCGTTGACCTGCTACTCAGCTCCGTGGAGCAACTGACATTTTACAAAATCATCTTTGGTTTACCCATACATCTCAGAGGAGCTTTCCAAAATCATTTATACGAAACTTGAAGGAAAACTGAAGGTGTTCCTCTTGGCCTTCCTCGTGTAGAGCCCAGACAACTATTGATTTTTCTACTCAAATTAATTTAATGCTGCACAAATGACAAATTTTCCTTTCCACGACAGATATCAACAGGTACATTCACACTTGCATAAACACATACACCTTAACACACACAGATGAAGCACTCAGCCTAGATGAGAAGGTACAGAAGACAGGAGGAGGAAGGAAAGAAGACAGAGATATGACACATCAAAGTAGATCCATGAATGCTCATCTGATGTTAGTGTGTGTTATTCCACCACAGCAGTGGTTAGACATCCTGGTGGGGCTGCTGAGGGTCAACATATCACCCCTTCAAGGTAAGTGTAGAGCCAGGCCCAAAAAGAAATGACAGTCACCACTCAAACTGTTAGTACTCGAGGGTTGGGAGGGCTTGTATGATGAGAAAAACACACATACACACAATCACCAAAAATAAACACAAACGAACAATGAAAATGCTGGGAGCCATGAAATCCCCGTGACATATGTATGAGTATTTTGGGAATTTGTTTTATAAATGTAGAGGGGAATTGATATATATAGTGGGAGAGTAATTTCTATATATATGTGAACATTATGTTGAAGGGAAATTAATGACACACACTCATTGAATGGTATTTCTTACTTTCTTTTGAAATAATGCTATTTTGCATCTCCAGTATACATTTATCACGAAATTTTCAACACAAACTAACTGAACAGTCGCATTTTTTCCGTCTCCTTTCTTTCTTGTTTTGACTCTGCGGTCAAAAGCGGCGCCTCCACTCACCTGTCCGTAACGTGTTTGGTAGCGCAGGTACATCGGTTTCCCAAACATCATCCATGGCACACATAGCACCGCCAGCACCACCAAGAAACTCTGGAACCCTTTCTGAAGACAAGAAAGAGAGAAACTGTTTTTGGGGATTGAGGTTTTAGGTTCTTTTAACCCTAAGTTTTAGGTTACCTTATACACCATGGTGGAAATAGCATTCACTGTCTTTCACTGAATCTGTATCATCACCTATGAGCACATAACATAGTGACTGGGGTTCAGCAGCAAATCCAGTACTTCTGCTGATCAGTATGAGCATGAATCTTCTTGAGGGAGATCAGTCCCTTACTTAACTAATAATTCAAAATAGACCTGAATAAATTTTAAAAAACAAAAAAAACTTAGAAAAGCCTCAACGCAAGGACGCTTTTTTGTTGATGTGTGTTTAGGCTTCTCCACAACCTATTTTTCTTTATTTTCTCATATTATAATTATTGGACTTCTTGCTGCTTTCACAATTGAATTATGTACGAACATGTTCAACTGTACTTTGAATAAATTATATTCAAAATACAGTCACACTTACTTTAATGGCCACCTGTCCAAGACAAAGACTCGTACAAACAACAACTTCTCACTCCCCCCCCCCCCCCCCCCATGTTTTATTTTTGTCAAAATGACAGTCCACAACGTCCACTTGTCTCAGACAACCTCCACTGTATACATAATATGTAGAGGGTGCGGTGGCGGAGCGGTTAGTGCCCTTGCCACCAGAGCAGAAAGTCCGGGTTCGAGCCTCGGTTCGGACACAGAATCTTTTTGCCCCCTCCTGCTCACCCAGCAGTAATGGGTACCTGACTTCGAGTTAGGGAAGTTAAGGCAGCGTGGAAAGGAACTGGCCACCCAACCACAATATGCTGAAGGCCCAGGATGTTGTCTCACTAACAAGGCAATCCCCAATGTCCGGATCGGATGAGGGAATAACCTTTTTACATAATAGTTGCACAGTACTGACTACTTGACTCAGCTTGAGCCTTCCAAGCTCTCACCTGACCACTGTAGATAAGAGGATGCTTCCCGTAGTTGAAGAGGAACATGTCGATCAGACCTGGAAAAGAGACAAGGCAATTGTTCCTTTGTTTGCTTGTAGTAAGACACAGATTCATTCATTTAAGGGTAGGGAAAATGGTAAGACAGACAACAGAGACAAATGAAAGAAAATAAAGAATCAGGATCCATCAGTGGTGTCCTCCAAGCCCCCATAAGAAAAGGAAAGAGAGACGTCAATTTTTTTCAAATCAGCCAAAACATAATAAGTCCAATATTTTTAACCCATGACACTTCAAATATCGGTTCAGATGTGAGCTTATCTCTATATTTCAACCAAATCTAAGTGTATGCACAATGGTTATGGTTTTGAGAAACATTACAACAGTATAAGCCATTATAAACATCAATCTACAAGCAGAGATCAGAAAGATTTTCCTGCTATGTGAAAATTCCATTGTAGGAACATAAAGGACAATTTATTTACGTTTATCGCGGATGTCACTGTCATTTATCCTAAACATAGTCTCTATAAAAATGTAATTCAAAATATTTAAATGAGTACACATGAAGTTATAAGACTCAGAATTTGTAGGGGGCCTGGATGGACTATGAAAGAGAGATAAACATAAAAATGACACAAGATTACTTGATCCACAAAACTGAGAACTACTATTGTGTCAGTCAAAGCATTACTTCCCCCCAATCATGACATCGAACTTTAGTTCTCTGAGCTTGAATCCTGTAATCAAATATTATCTTAACCCAGAAAAACTAACGAATACGAGTTGCTGTTTTTTCTCATTTTAAACTTAGAGTTTTACAGCACTTGGAACACAAAAATGTCATAAAAGTTCCGAAGATTAGAGAAGTTACTAGAGAGCAACATGCACAGAAAAAAATTCAGGACAGATAAGGATGATAAACGTTGGATAGGAAAGGAGTAGACCACACCAGAGCACCCACCAACCACCTAGGGTCATACTGTGCATCTCTCCATGACCAATGACCTACCTATGAGTAGACTGGGAGCATCGTGGGCCTCCTTCGAGGTGTAGTGCACCCACTTGTGGAAGATAAGGATGATGAGGTATCCAAACATGCAGAACAGGAACACGACCATAGGGATGAAGTCAAAGATGATATTCAGGGGTCGCTTGAAGTGTCTGTGCACAAAACAAATGGCTTTTATTCACTTCTTCCTTCCTCTTGTATTGTTAGAAACAAACGGCTTTACTTTACCCTTTTTCTTCCTCTTGTATTGTTAGAAACAAATGACTTTAGTTTACCTTTCTCTTCCTCTTGTATTGTTAGAAACAAATGACTTTAGTTTACCTTTTTCTTCCTCTTGTATTGTAAGAGACAAATGACTTTAGTTTAATTTTTTCTTTCTCTTGTATTGTAGGAGACAAATGACTTTAGTTTACCTTTTTCTTTCTCTTGTATTGTTAGAAACAAATGGCTTTACTTTACCCTTTTTCTTTCTCTTGTATTGTAAGAGACAAATGACTTTAGTTTACCTTTTTCTTCCTCTTGTATTGTAAGAGACAAATGGCTTTAGTTTACCTTTTTCTTTCTCTTGTATTGTAAGAGACAAATGGCTTTAGTTTATCCTTTTCTTTCTCTTGTATTGTAGGAGACAAATGGCTTTACTTTACCTTTTTCTTTCTCTTGTGACGTTAGAAACAAGTGGCACTGGCAATAACCTTTGGACTCACAGTTCCCTTCTATTCCATTTTTGTTCTTTTTATGATCTGTCACAGGCATTCATCTCTATTCAGACATAATAATTCAGTGTCTTGTTAAATGACTAATTAAGTTCAAATGCCACTATTTATGGGTTTCTTTTTTCATCCTCAGTGTGTGTGCACAGGGATATATTATATATATATGTGTGAAAGACAAACCTGTGGTTGAGTAAGCTGAGCGAGATGCCAAAAAACATCTGGCCAATCCCTAGGATGACAGACATTTTCATTTTGAGGGAGTTCGTGAAGGCAATCTTGTTGTCAGACAGCATCCAAATCTGAGAACACAAAAAAAGCAATAAAAATCACTCATGAAGATTAGTCCAGAAAAACTCATTGTTTCTTGAGGTGACAAAATAATATTTTTGCAACAAGGGAAAAGCTCAAGAAAATTTTACAAGGATGAGTTTAAGTTACTTTGTCAAAAGGCACATAATAATCTTGATTTTTAAGATAAATTTTCATCTCTAGTAGAATTCTGAAACAAACTTCCTGGGAAGCACATAGTGCAAATTGCCATTTCTAGAGATGATAAAACATTAACATACTTTGACAAGATCTTTAGCTGTCTATGGCCAGGTATCCATTCTCACCTGGGTGAAGTGAGGAAGTACTTTTCCAAAGGACACAATATCAGGTTTGAATCTCGAACCCCCGAAACCGCAACCTCACAATTACGAGTCCAGTAGCCTAGCCACTAGACTACCGATGCCAACATTTTAAAACAGATAAATTAAGAAGACAGACAAGCTTTGACTCAAAAGTTGCAAAAAATAACAATATAAGATCAGCAAGTGAGATCACTACTCTCTACTCCACAGTTCGAAAAGAAAAGAAAGAACAATAAATTAGACAAATTGAGAAGCCTGTGTACATGTTTCCTTCGATAATCTTAGAAGCTGTGTGACAATTGCCCCAAAGCAGATTATTTTTTCTTCACATAAAAAACACTCAGACAAAGCCAACAACTGTAGTTAATAGCCGTAAATTGTTTTCACTTTGTGTAAAGTAAAACGAAAGTCTGACAGCAGACCAAAGACAGACATACCAAAGTAAACTTTTAAAGAGAACTAATACAGACCGGGTCCACTCCCATAGGGTAGGGAGAGTCCATGAAAGTGGCCGCAGGGTCCAGTTTGATCTTGTCATGCTTGGCCAGTGAAACGTTATTGTATCGGGGGTCCCTGCAGAGGACAGACAATCGCTTAATCCAAAGTTCTTACTTTCACTCTTTCAAGATCATTTCACAGCACTTGTGACACAGATGTGCGGGCCATTTTTAAAAGAAAATTTTTAGGTAATGGTACAGTAAAAATGCCTGTTGCTTATTTCGTATCCTCCACACCCCAGTACTTTGTTTCATGCTGTAGATACTCATTTATTGAGATATTGCGCAAGTCATAAATTGACTTACATAAGCACTGTTTCTTTAAGTTTTCTCAAAACGACAAAATATGAAGTAGGCAATTGTGCTATGACTGTGGTAGTTTATTTTTTTAGACACCCCAAGACTCATAAGGAGGTTCTAATCCACTGACTGACCCCTGAACTCTGCATTTTAAATATAGTGGGCATGTGCGCCTCCATCAACAGACCCTTTTTAAGGATGTCGTTCCTCAGAACAATTCTTAACCTCCAAACTCACAATACCCATACAATTGAATCATCGGGGGATGGGTGCTGTCATCACATTCAGAAAATCAGCTGTCCCTGAAATGTAGCATATGGTGGGAGGGTTTCACATTGTTCACATTTCTCCAGCTACTCATCTGTACACTAGAAATACAATACTGAAACGAAGTAGAGGAAGCATACCACACAAGAAAATCTGTCAATTGCCCAGTCTTCAGTTTACCAGATTTTGAGCAAAAGATAATTTTTGAAGTGTTGCACTCGTACTGACCCCTGAGCTCACAAGGAGGAAACATTACATACATCGACCCCTGACCCCTGAACTTACAGGATGAATACATTCCACACGTCAACCCCTGATTCTTTTGACTCATGTGGTGGGTATACTCCATGAACCATGATCCCTCAACTCACTTTATCAGTATATGCCACAATCTCCTGACCCCTGAACTCAATGGTGGGTACATGCCACAACCTACAGACCCCTTAACACACGTGGTGAGTATAAAACCATTACCCCCTGACCCTTGAACTCATGTGAGATGGTGGGTATACACCATGACCTTGACCCCTGAACTCATATGGTGGGGATAAAACCGTGACCCGTATATACCACGACCCCTGAACTTACGTGGTGGGTATGTTCCACACATCCACCCTTGACCCCTGAACTTACGTGGTGGGTATGTTCCACACATCCACCCTTGACCCCTGAACTTACGTGGTGGGTATGTTCCACACATCCACCCTTGACCCCTGAACTTACGTGGTGGGTATATTCCACTGACAGCCAAACATGTTGAGAGGCTTGGAGAAGATGTCGTTGTAGATGAAGCCCGTGTACACTGAGAACGCACCCATCAACAGGATGATGTAGCGACCACCGAAGAATGTGTTGAAAATCTGGAGGTCAATAATAAATAGCGCATTATTTCACTTACCTAAACTATTGAAACCCAATATACGACTTAGTACAAAGAGGTAACAAGCCATTAGTCCTACATGACACTTGAATTCCAATACACATTATCTTATACATGAGTCTGAACAAAATCATTATAGCTGTTGAGTAAAAGGAACAAATAACACAATTCATAAAAACAATTATAATTTTATCCTACTTTTTATAAGAACAGGAGAGGTTAATAGAAAAACTGAAAAGAAATTTTTAAAAAGAGGAATCAACAAACTACAGCACCCATCAACCACCCACTCTTGACAAGGGAAAAATCCCACATAGGCTGCAAAACTGTCCAACAAATTGCTCCATATTTCAAAACAGCAGAAAGTGACGAGGGATTCATTTTGTCGTCGCGTTGCCACACACTGTGCCCACCTCGTTCTGTATCTTCTTGGCCTCCAGCTGTTTCTCCTTCAGGACCAGGTACAGGGCAAACAGGAACATGATGAGACCGTGGCCCATGTCACCGAACATGACGGCAAACAGGAACGGGAACGTGATGCACGTGAAAGGTGCTGAGGAAAAATTACAGTCACTGAGGTATTCTGTTGAGTAGTCTATTTTTTAGTAAGTTTTACTGTACTTGCAACACAATTAGGTCGTAGAAGTGACGAAGATTAGAGGTGTTACAAGAAAGTAATAAACACAACAAAAAAAGGAGATATAAGAAAAGAACAAACCATACCAGAGAACCTGCAAGCCACCCAAAGTCATTGTCAAAGAGTTATCTTTGTCATTCAGCTGTTATTGCTGTTTGGCACAGGTCGAGAATCTCTGGCCTTTAGACCAGTTCAAGCCTAATAAGGTTTACTGTCAGGCCTGATGAACATTTTATTATTCATCATATATCTGGCCTAATAAGCTTTACTGCTACTTAAACTGATACTTATGACCAAGGCAAAATTTCAAATAAAATCAAGGTAATTTACAAGTAGGTTTATAACTAAAAGTTGCCGTTGTCGTAACAAACACTTCTATTTCAAATGATTCAAGAGTCCTTTCTTTGACACTCCGGGGTGTTTTTTTTTAGTCTTTTTTTCTTTAAAGGCCTAGTGGGCCTTCTTTGAGTTCCTATGCGGCCGAGTTGGCCGAAAAAGTTGCCAACCCCTGATGCATGACCTTGTCCTTGAGTTATTCTTGTAAAACCATTGTGTTCTTCACTATTTGTGTTCAAGTTGTGGTTTCGTTTAAGTAAAAGTTTAAAAGCACTTTCAACATAAAATACGTCATATAAGGGTCAAGGATAAGAGGCGTAACCAGAGTGTAAAAAGTAAAGTTTTTCCCGTATCTGATCCGGACATTGGGGATTGCCTTGTTAGTGAGACAACTTCCTGGGCCTTCAGCATATTGTGGTAGGGTGGCCAGTTCCTTTCCATGCCGCCTTTACTTCCCCAACTCATTGTTAGGTACCCATTACTGCTGGGTGGGCAGGAGGGCGAAAAAATCTGTGTCCAAAACAAGGCTCGAACCTGGACTTTCTGCTTTGGAGACGAGCGACGACAGATATTTGATAGGAAAGAAGGAACATAGAACACTATAGCAACTGCCCGATGTTGTCCAGCACTTGAGGTTTTATCTTTTATTGATGATGATGAATACAGCACAGAGTGAAAGAGAATGAGAGGCAAAGAGCAAGACACAGAGAGAAAGAAATAGACAAATAGAAAACAAGCAGCAACACAAGACAAGACAAAAAAAATATTTAAAAAGCCATTTCAGAAAGCCATTTGGAAACAAAATGAGACTGAAAGATTGCCCCACAGACATGATCCAGCAGACAAACACAGACCTGGATTGACTTCCCGGTACGTAGCCACACCAAACGCGTCCACGATGTTCTGGAAACCTTGAGTGAATTTATTACAGCGGTTGTACGTGGGTGGCACCATCTTGGTCTGCATGCGGTTCAGGATTGAGGGCACACTGCTGCCACTGCGCTCCTGGAGAACAGGGGAAGGACTTGTTTGAGTAAAGAGAGACACGTTGACACCTCTTTTCTTACTTACTCTACCTGTACCATTGAAACAACAGTGGTCATTTAGTGAAGGAAAGGTAAGACAGGCAGACACAAACTACAAAGGAAAATTAAAGAACTAGTACCTACTAGTGGCACCATCAAACCATCCGCAAAGTCAAACAGAAATTTTACCTGAATCAATACGATGAGAAATTAAGACAAGAAACTACCAGGTCAAACCCAGTGGCTATCTTCAAATATGTGTAGCATTGCGGTGAAATCAGACGCTCTTCAAAATAAAGAAATCCAAGAAACCACCACTTTTCTACTCCTTTGGACAATCTTTATCTATTTTTTCCCCAACTCAACACGTTTTATGTTAATTTAGAAACACATTACTGTGTGGATTTTAGTGAAAAATGTTAATCCAAGACGCAAAAAATGCAAAGTTGCAGTCAAAATGCATGAGTAGTCAGAACACGACAAAATTAGACACATAAAATGTTGGACAACTCACAGTTCCGCGTCGCAGAGCCTGCTGTATGCGGTCGAGGTCAGGCACGGGGCACCAACACTCGGCGATGAGACACTTCTGCGTGACGTCCAGGTTGAACATGTTGAGCATGTGGTAGATGGCCTTGATCTTGCGCACTTTGATGAACCAGACTTTGATGTTCTTGGCGGCCGCCACCAGCACGCGGTGTCGGTGATCCTGGGTCTGACCCAACACCTGAAAGAGAGGTTTTAGGTTTAGTAGAGGTTTTACGGCCGCTCGCAACCGCATAAGATCATATGAGCACCCAGAGGTGGATGTCAACAGAGAAGTCCTTACAGGGAATCAGGCTTACTCGGCTCACCTCTCTAGCTTCAACAGCACAAAGTCTGCTTCGACTATCAAGGCACCCCGGAAATAGCCGGTCACAAGTGTGTGACAAATATACAAAAGAAGTAGAAGAAAATGAAGACAGTAAGGATGAAGAAAGAAACAAAGCAGCAGTTCCCTGTTGCAATTCAGGCACAGTTATGAGTATGACATAGATGAATCAGCCCATTTACAATTCTACTGCACTTCAGACTGGGAATAAGACACTTCAGTCAGTAGCACTGCCCCATGGGGTATGAAAGAGACAGAGGAGGAGGAGGCGGGTCATGAGTTATGTGTGTTGGGGGTGGCAGTTGGGGAGTGGGGAGTTAAACCAGGAAAAAGTGGAAAATGGGTCACGAGTCATGGAATGAAAGGAATGGGGGAGCGCAGGGGGAAACAGGAGTCAGACATAGAGGAGAAAAAGGATCATAAGTTGGGGAGGGGAAAAGGTAGGCCAGGATAAGGAAGACCATCAGTAATGAAGTAGGTGGGGATGGATGTTAGGGGTAATGTTAGGAGTAGGTCGGTCTTAAGTCATTGGGTGAGGGGGGTAATGTTGGGGTTGTGGAGTAAGAGGCGAGGTGGGGGGGGGGGGGGGGGGGCGACACCCCTTGGCTTCAAATATTAGCTTGTGCAATGCTTGCTTCTTTGTTTGATCGAGTACAGAGAAGCAGATTGACACAAAAAGTCATTTAGCAGAGAAAAAAAGAAAAGACAATTTTTTTAATGAACCAAGAGTGTAAAGAACCATGCTATGGACATTACACAAAATCAGTTTAATATATATGAAGGAAACAACAAATGCATCCTACATACACAAGTACACACGTGAATATACACACACCCAAACACATGAAGACACACAAACACCACTACGCACACACACACATTCATGCTCCTAGCACTGCAGCAACTAAAAACTCACAGTATTGAGATCCTCTATACGGGTCATGACCCCTATGGCCATCTCTCGTCGCTCAGCCTGGGTCTCTGGGCACGGGTACAGAGTGGCTCGGTACCTGCACAGTAATTTATTATCTATAGAATATCCACATAGGAGGCATCATGGTGAAATCAGGAGCTCCTCAAAATAATGAAATAAAAGATATCAGCATTTTCCGCGTTTGCCAATTTTTACTGAATCTTTGTCTTTTGGCTAAACACCTTGTATGCCCATTTAAAAACATATTAAAGTAACTATAAATAAGGCTTGCAAGTTTTTTTGCTCATATGGAAAACAGTTTAAAGTTACAATTGCGAAACAACTTTACTATTTCCAAAAGCAAGGCTTAAGATAGTATAATTTTCCATTTAGCACCTACCTTCCCTTTAAACATGTGTGAACCTTTCAACATCTAGAATTATGTTTTAATCGTGTCCCTAGTTCCTTGAAAATTGCGTCAACACACCCAAAAAATCCACTCTTACGAAAATGATGAAAAAGACACAAGAGTAAGCCCATAGTACTTTTACATAGTTTACAGAGCATGCTGTCCCTTTACTTTAATGAAGTCCCGCAGACAAACCTCAGCAATGGTTGCAACAAAAAAAAAAAAAAAAGAGTTTATCTATTTCTTCTAGTTACACAGAGCATCAAAGTATTTCAGTCTCGTCAACTTTTTCAAAACCCAATCAGTGACACCCTTTGTTACAACATCAGATTATATAACAACAAATAAACCTACATCAAGTGGACCTGGTTTTGGTGCAGTGTATGTTATAACACTCTCAAATTCCAGATTGTCAAATCCAGCACACATCTATCGTCCTTATCTCCCCTCATTTTTTTGTTTGTTTGTTACTCTCTTGTAACACCTCTAATCTTCTGGCGCTCAAATGACCTTATGCAGTTGCGAGTGCCGTAAAACCTCTACTAAAACTAAAACTAAAATCCACCACAGTCTCGAGAAATTCAGGACAATTGGCAAGCCTACCATCAACAAACGAAAATTCTCAAGTCTAAAGATTTCAATAATAAACTTGTAAAAAGAACAATCCCCTGTCATGATGAGAACAGTTTTTTAAATACCTACAAGCACATTTAACTCTTTAAACCCCATCCGATGCTGGGAGCATCTAGCGGTAATAACCCAGTTCCCCATCGGACGCCGATACTAGTGACAACATTTTCGTTTTATTTAGCAGGGTAGAAAGAGTTAAAGCACCATTCACATCTAGTTGATCCACTTACCCCTCACAAATTTTCTTGATGCGACTCTTCAGCTGTTCACCTTGGAAAAATATGATGAACACTGACTTGTGGACACTATCTCCCTGGTGAACAGAAAGTTTGAGTAGTTAGAATACAGCGTGAGTAAAAAGAAGGTTATTGATGCAACAAAAGTCATTAAATGCTTGGGAAGAGCATGATAGACAGACAGAGACAACAAAACAGAGGTAAAGAAAAGGAAGTATTACTTGCCATATAGGCCGTTCAACAACTTGTTTTGAACAGAGAAGGACATGACTGCTTGGGATGTGAAATGTGAAATGGTAAAGGTTTAACCCCTCCACTGTTAACACTATTAGGTTATTCAAGAGGTGGGACCTCCAAGTTCAATGTCCACCTCCATAAGAACTGAGCCAAATGGGAAATTCGTGTAAAGTGCCTTTCCTAAGGACACAACATCGGACCGAATTGAGGCTCGAACCCCTGGACCCACAATCTAACGATTATGAGTCTGGTAGCCTAACCACTAGGCTACTGACACCACTGTATGGGATGTACAAAGATAGCAGTGGCATTCATAAATTTATACAATTTCAGAACTTGTGTTCAGGGGTATGCACTATGATGGAATGTCTGTACATCTGTGTAGGCGTGTGTTCGTGTGCATGCACAGATATTCATGCATACGTAATTTCAAGAATGAGTCTTCATGACAGAATGAAGAGTGTGCTCATACAACATACCGTGACAGGATCTTCCAGCGGAGAGTCAATCTCAGCCTGACGCAGGAACACATTGCCGCGACACACACGCCACAACATCACCTCGAAGGATGGGATTCTCTCCCTTAGGATCACACCAGCCACAAACCTGAACACAAACAAATTTTTTATTACGAAAGAGAAGTACAGTTCCACATTAACAGTCATACAATGCAGGATTTCAGTAAAGTTAGAGTAAAGAGTTAAATGTTAGTAAGAGTTGTACTGCACCTGCAACACAGTATGGCCATAAAGAGAAGCACTTTGAAACAATAAGTGCTATTTAGAGCACGGAAAAATTCAGACAGGCAGAAATGACAGATAGAGTAAACAAGAAGGAGATGCCTTCTAACCACCACTCACAGTAAAGAGGAGGACAGCTATGGATTAGCAAGCATTTAGTGTAGGGAAAAAAGGGGCAGTTTGACAAAAGTAGTGCCCAAAAATGATCCATTACAACACCAACCAAAACAAAGACAGAGATTTTAATTTTAGTAAGAGTTTTACAGCACTTGCAACACAATAAGGACATATAAGTGCCAAAGATTAGAGGTGTTACAAGAGAGTGACAAACACAAAAAAGAAGGAGAGGAGATAAAGACGATAGATGTTTGATAGGAAAGAAGAAGCAAACCACACCAGAGCACCCGCAAACCACCCACAGACAGAGATTGAAAATAACTTGAATGATCCCGTGAGATGAAGGAAGCTGAGGAGAAATTCACGACAGACAAAGTCAGCCCCCCAAAAAGCCCACAATATGCCAACAAAAAGCAGTTTTTCAGGATAAAGAGAAGCATATTAACAAAATAAGCACCAGACACATGCACGTGTGGGTGCATGAACACACACAGACACACACACACACACATACAGACACACACACACACACACACACACAGAGTACAGCACAGTGAGTTCAACTGACCCAAGCTTCATCTGTTGACCAGTACGGGGAATGTGTTCCTCTCCCAGAAGTCCCACACGCTCCTCAGCAATGTTTGGGTCATGTAGAGCCTGCGCATGGAGTTCCGCCTGACAGAGAGAAAGAACGAGAGAGTGAGACAGAAAGCATACAGAGACAGAGAGAGAGAGACACACAGACAGAGAGAGAGAGAGAGAGAGAGAGAGAGAGAGAGAGAGAGAGAGAGAGAGACAGAGACAGAGATAGAGAGACAGAGACAGAGAAAGAAAGTGGGAGAGAGAGAATTTGTATGTGTTTGACAGAGAGGAAAACAAAGAATCCAAAGACGTAAAAGAGAGACAGACAGACTGAGAGAAAGAGAGTGGTAGACAAAGACTGAGAGAGAGAGAGAGAAACAGACAGACAAACAGACAGACACACACACAGACAGACAGACAGAGACAGAGAGAGTGACAGAGGGAGATATAAAGAATATAGCCAGTCAATCTATCTATCTACCTTGTCTGTAGAACTATTTTAAGCAACCAATATAAGTTACAATACATACTTATAATAACAACATACACCCCTATTCATGTACGTTCCTAAGTACATATTCATGAACACATGTCTGTGTGTGTGTGGGAGTGTGTGTGTGTGTGTGTGTGTGTGTGTGTGTGCATGTGTGTGCGTGTGTGTGTGTGTGTATGGGAGTGTGTGTCTCTAGATGTGAGTTCATGATTGGGTGCATATACTTCTATACAGTTTTACGCTTATATAATTATTATCTTGAACACTGCGCATAGTATTATTATTGAAAAGCCCATTAATGTTCTCATCTGAGAACAACAGCAGCCCGTCAACACGGCAAAGCCATACACACTGAGAGGAAAAAGAAATGACAGGGAGTAGTATCAGAAACATTGTGAAGCAGGAAAAAAACCTTAAACTAACATACTAAAACAGTTTCATAAAATATGAGTTCACTGAAATACAGTACACCAAAAAACAGTTGTGACTGCTTGGTTTTGTGTGTGTGTGTGTGTGTGTGTGTGTGTGTGTGTGTGTGCGTGCGTGCGTGCGTGCGTGCGTGCGCGCGCGCGTGTGTGTGTGTGCATGCGAGTGTGTGTGTGTGTGTGTGAGTGTGTGTGTGTGTGTGTGTGTGTGTGTGTGCATGTGCGTGCATGTGTGTTTGCATGTGCATATAAGAGGGCATATGTGTTTGCTCGAATTACAGAAAAGTTTATCTACAAAGCAATGGCTTAACATCCAGTTTTTTTTAAAAAGAGAGATAAAACGGGTGGAAATAACATTAATTGTATAGAAAAAATCAATACTTCATTCCTCATATCTTTCATCTATTATGGAGCTATCCTATCACAGAGAGCTACAACAGAGGGTACTTATTAATGTGGTCACCACAGCTGAGCATTTGCTCTACAAGGGGAAACAAAAAAGAAGAGTAAAACAGAAAATAATTCATTGATCCTGAAAGGGATGTTTGCTTCACAATGAAATGCAGATATTTATGAACAGACCATACAATCATGATTTTCCAAACAAAATGCAGCACATCGCTGATGACCACCAAAGACCAGAGTTCCGAGTTTAAGCTACGGTCAATGTGTACTGCTCTATGACACACCAATGTGTACGGTTCTAGGACACACCAATGTACACTGCTATGGTAACCTTCTATGACACACCAATGTGCTCTATGACACACCAATGTGAACCTCTCTACAGCTCTAGAACACACCAATGTGTACTACTATTGTAGCCCTCTACGACACACCAGTGTGTACTGCTCTATGACACACCAGTGTGTACAGCTCTATGATACACTAATGTGGACCTCTCTACTGCTCTAGAACACACCAATGTGTACTACTATTGTAACCCTCTACAAACACACCAGTGTGTACAGCTCTATGACACACCAATGTGAACCTCTCTACTGCTCAAAGACACACCAGTGCGTCCTGCTCTACTGCTCTAGGACACACAAATGTGTACTGCTCTATGACACACCAATGTGAACCTCTCTACTGCCCAAGGAAACATCAGTGGGTCCTGCTCTACTGCTCTAGGACACACAAATGTGTACTGCTCTATGACACACCAATGTGAACCTCTCTACTGCCCAAGGAAACATCAGTGTGTACTGCTCTACGGCTCTAAGACACACCAATGTGTACTGCTCTAAAACACACCAATGTGTACTGCTCTAAAACACACCAATGTATACTGCTCTAGGACCACATATATAAAAAAGCTGGAGCACTAAATATTTGTGGCTTAATACCCTTGGTACATTGAAAAAGAGCTTGAGGGCTCATCTTTTTAAACAGCTAATTTGTGGCCTGAAGGCTCATCTTTTTAAACAGCTAATTTGTGGCCTGAAGGCTCATCTTTTTAAACAGCTAATTTGTGGTCTAAACCGTCTGTGATCATGTCATATTATTACCACTCCATATTATAACATTTTTACCAACTACATAATCTGGGGTGACTACTGATCTACATGTATTTTGTAATGTGATGACATTGTTTTTGCGTCAGCCATAGCGTATTTCTATCTATATCGCTTTATCTAATGAGTCGACTCATTCTTTTCCACAGGCTAAAAAACAATGTCAAGCAACGTCTGTGATACATATTTCAGATGTGTTACTAGTTTGGGGGTGGGGGGTTGTCCCTGAGTAAGATGTAGCAACCACAGCAAAAAAAAAAAAAGAAGCTGTATGGCAGCAACCTAACCTGTAATATTGTGTTGGAGAATTAGTTTGCAGGTTATATGAGTCTTGAAACATTACATTATCTATCATATGAAGAGGGAGAATTTCTGAATTTGTGTCTGCAATATGTAGAACATGCCATTTTAATTCAAATTTTCCTTGGTTTGTTGGGGGGTGGGGGGAAGAGAAAAACTTGTACTTTTTAAAAGTTGTCTTTTATTAGTAAGAGAAAATAAACGGGGGCTCTTGTGGTCTAGAGGTATGGCATTTGCCTCTCATTCAAAAGGTCCCAGGTTCAACGAGTCATGATCTTTTGTCTCCTTTCATCTTCACTTTCTCCCCCGCCCCACCCCCCAAATAGTTAACTACCCCTTTGAACTAAGATCTAGCTGGGGAACGCAAAGGAGGAGGAGGAGGAGGAGGAGGAGGAGGAGGAGGAGGAAGTAGAAGAAGAAGCAGAAGAAGAAGAAGAAAAAGAAGCACAGGAGGAGAAGGAGGAGGAGGAGGAAGAAGTAGAAGAAGAAGCCGAAGAAGGAGGAGGAGGAGGAGGAGGAGAAGGAGAGGGAGGAGGAGAAGAAGGGGAAGAAGAAGAAACAAGAACAAGAAGGCACTCTCATCATTCTACGCACATGCACCAAAAAAAAAAAAATTGTGGCACGCAAAAGGGAGAAATAATCGCTCCAAAGTAAATTCTCACTCTTCATACTTCAAATAAGTATAATTAACATTCTGGGTTTCTCTCCAGTGCAGAAGAATACTACAGGTTTTAGAGCAAATATAAAATTAGATTTTGGTGGGATTTAAAAAAAAGTTTTAGTTAGAGTTTTATGGCACTTGCAACAAAATAAAGTCATATAAGTGCCGAAGAATAGATGAGCTACAATACAGTAACCTACGCAAAAAAGGAGGAGAGATAAGGACGATAGATGTTTGATAGGAAAGAAGGAGCAAACCACATCAGAGCACCTGTCAACCACCCACAAGATTTTGGTGCATCACTAGAATACATATAATTTGTACCGAAAGAGAAAAATTCAACTGTAGGAACAAATAGCCAGATACCTCCATTTTCTTGCCCTGAGCTCCTGCCAAACAATTTTGCAATAACTGCCTCATAATTTGGCCACAATTTGGAGAACAAAGCTGAAGATTGTCAGTAAGCTCTTAAATTATACAATGCCAAGAGAGCAAAATTTCACAGCAAAGAGAAAAAAAACCCTGTTTTATTCTTGAAACAACAGAACTTGCATATATATATATATATATGTATTTTTTCTTGCTTTTTCACCCTGTAGGATTTGTACTTCCACAAATATTTCTTAAGAACATTCAATGATAACACAGAGTAAAAAACTGCAATTGTAAAAAAAAAAAAGTCAACATTTTGGGTGAAGTATATTTTTATCAGTTGGCTGAGGATACACACAATATTTCCGGTATCTCTCATCAAGGTTGGAAGCATGCAGTAGTGTACACATGGTTAGTGGGGATCATATGATAAACGCTGATGCTTTTAGTGGAGTGTAAATAATCGAGGTATAACAAAAACCTGAAGGCAGTCCAATACCACTAGCTCGATTTAAAACCTACTTATCATCCAACTATGGCAGATTTCTTTAAAAAATGAAGGGGATTGCTCTAAGGAGACAAGAAAACAAAAATAACATCCCATATTTTTAGAAAGAAAAAAATTGCCCTCCATTATTATGCATTGCTAGGGTTCATAGCTTAGCTCAACAGGTAAAATGGTGGGAGGTGGAAAAAAAACATGAACTGGCAAACATTCAGCGCCACATTTCAGGAAAAAAGACAAAATTATATGCTTAATATCGGAGCAGTATATAAAAAAGCTCTAGAGGACTTCACAATAAAAATCCTTTTCCGGAATGTCATATACAATTTCCACATTAAACGAATCTTTCCACTATAAATGCCAACCCATGAAAGCCAAATTTTTTTAAGTGCCCTTACTATAGTTTTGACAAAATCCAAAATGAAAATTTTTCTTCTTTTTCTTATTATGCTAGATGTATTCGTAAAGTTGTAAAATCCCGTCTTTCACAATTTAACCTTTAATTTTGATTTCATCAATTTTGGTTATTTTGGCACTTGACACAATTTTGCTTTAACCTTTTAAGCCTTGAACTCCTGAGGCTACCTTGCCCCCCTGCCTGAACTCCTGAACAATTCACGCCTTTATTCATATCATCACAAGAATCCCATTCCATATCCCACTCAGGGCAGCCCTCATCCTTACCAGCATCTAATTCAGAAAGGTCTTCAAAATAACAAATCATGTTTCTGTAGTATTATCCGTGTGCATTTTGTCTCAGGTGGGCTGGTTTGGGGATAGGGTCTCCCTGACCAGTGTACCAGATGCTAGGCATACGGGCAATTTTACGTGCCACCCGCGTACCAGTGGCTAGGGCTCAAATGGTCAAGGAGTCGATGTGACTTTCCTGCTGGTAACCATGCCCACACTTAACGCCATCTTGTTATTTTGTCATCAAAGCATCATATTCTGATGTGTATTGGCTTGTCAGTAATGATAAGTCATGCAAACATTGCAAATCTGTAAATGTTCACGACGGAAACTGACGTCGAGGAAAAAAAATCAGATTTTATTGCAAAAATCGAATGGGGTTCTTCCATGGAAAAAAAAAAGGAGTGCTTGGAGGGTCTGTAAATATTTTTCCACCTCCCAGTAATGAAAACAATACTTTTTTGTGCTACTCACTCCCTTCAAAAATAGCTGCAGAGGTATAGGACAGGTCAAAGTTCAAGTTAGCAGAATATAAAACATCTCCTCTGACTGCAGAGAGATAAGAGTTGAGATAAGTTCAAAATACTGCTTCTCATTTTTTAGGTGTGTTTCTGCCATACATACACATAACATCAAAAAGTGGGTGTGATTTCTTAACAACAGCAAATATGAAAAGCCGATACAGTGCTCACTACACCAAAAGGATCAGTATCAAAAGCACCTATAGATATTTTTTAAAAAACAAAAACCAAGAGCAACAAAAGGTCTCATAACAGAAACATTTTAAAAGAATAGGTAGGAACAAGTAGTAAAATAAAACATTCTTGTCCTGATCAAAATCATGAAGAAACTTTGTCGCCATTGAATAAAAAGTAAATTATTAATACTCACAGCTACAAAACAGCATACAGGCATTTTAAATCAAGCCATCCCTAACCATCCTATCTCCCTTAATTTACATATTCAAATATTGACTATATGTTAATTTCCATAACACTTGTATGAAACTAGGATTTTTCCGGACATTCTACAGATGTACACAATGCTGGTCTTCCTTTGCTTGAATTCAAAACAACGCAAGGATATCAATGCCAACAACCGAGACAAATGAAAGCACTTACATACAACGTCATTAGGCAGGGAAACCACAAGAAGGCAGAATACTCTCAGCGACTTCACAAACAGGAAATTACATCTAACAGATCATGCAGCAACTTAGGTTTGCACAGTGCCATACAAGAGGCGAAAAGGAGTCAGCTAGTGTACAAACTACAGCAATGCAGGGTCAATCTCAGTGCAGACATTCACAAAAACCTCACAACTTTTCGAGAATAAAATAGTAGCCTAGAGATCAGGGCAGAAACACAAAAGAGCTAGCTGTCTCTGACAGGTAGATTTTTCATGACGTCGGATGTCGAAAAGTTTATATGATTTTACAGTCGGCACTGAGCTTAAAGAGACAAAATACTTCCAAACAAAGTGGAGAACTCAAAATGAGACAGCCGGGAGAACTGAGAGGTTACAATAAACAGTATGGCACACCTAACGCTTATAGTGAACCCCTGCCCTGTTTTCTCCACAGCTTTTCTTGGAGGTAAGATACACATGAGCAGTTACACTACATTGCGCGGCAGGGAAAGGATTAAATACCATTTAACACATTTTTCTTTCCAAATAAGAAAGAACAAGGGTGAAACAAAAGTATGAAAAGCAAAAAACACAATCAAGGCAAGGCTGTACAGCTAACACGGCAAGAATCAAACTCAAACCCACCATGAGTTGAGTAACCATGATGATTCATCACAGACCGTAACATGTGGTCGGTTGTTCGGAGATTTACACATCAGAGACAGTGGGACAGGGAAGGGGGACAAGAAGAAAACACAATCATTGAACGTTGTAAAGGCTTGAGGATTTCCTTGCCTAGACTATCCAAGAGAGCATTTTTTCCTAAATTTGCAGTCCCATAAGCAAGACTGGGCATACATACATTTGCACATTTCATACACTTTAATTATGTTCACAAACATAGAGAAAAAATAAATCTAAACAAATACACACTTCTCCACACACACACATACACCCTCATACAGAAAATCAAAATAAAATACATGTGTGCACATATACACTAACCTTCATACGGAAATACACCCGAAATACATTTGCACACATTCACATAAATAGTTGAACCAGTGTAAGACGGAATCCCAAGGGAGCCCGAAAAAAATTCTGTAATAGACAGGGGAATTTAGGGAGCCAGAAAAAAATTCCATCTTAGACAGGGGAATTTAGGGGGAGATGAAGGGGGTTTTTAAAGACCCAGCTGGAGGGATCAAGGATCGCTTGTCTGATCAGCAAGCTTGGTAAAAACTTCACAGCTCTCAATTGCTATCCTGTCGTCTCATAATGACATGCGTCAGTCTTACTTATCCAATCACCACCACTGCTTGCCTTTCATAGGACCACAGTTTGACCTATTAAAAACAGAAACGTATGAACATTTTTGCTTCTACCCTTAGCCCCACCCATCGGTGTAACAAGCACAGTCAACCAGTGCCACCCCTCACTGCCATCATGAAAAAATGATTTGAGGAACTCTTTTCTGGGCTGGCCATACGATCAGGGTGGCAGGCATTGGTCAATCTAATTTCACACCTCTGGCTTCTGGCTACCGAGGAAAGTTTACGTAGTGGCTCGCCACTCGAGCACTCTCACAGGCAGTCGTGAGATTTCACACCCACACTACCCTCATCCTCTGCATCGCTCAGGGTTCACATGAAGGGGTAACATCTACCCTCAATTGCACCCCTACTCCCCTTCCTCCTCCAGCGGCATGGCCATGGTGTTAAGTTTATAGCCAGCGGAACCAAACTTACGAGTTCTGTTTCAAATCAAGGCTGAGCGGGCAAAGCATTTTCCGTCTTAGACAGGTAAAACCCTTGGAAGGGAGTGAATTTTTTTCCATTTCTGTGTTGGACATGTTTCCGTTTTATATAGGTAATTAAAGAGGAATATATCAAGGGAGGAGCGGGGAGATTCCGTTAAGACAGGTTCGACTGCATTAAATAATCAAAACCCTGTGAAAAGGGAGACATTATAAAAAAATCTTGACAACCGTTAAAAAGGTGTTCATTTAGATCAAAGGGGGGAAAAAAGGCAAAAAGTGGGAAAAAGGAAAAAGTGGAGAAAAAAAACTTGTGAGCAAAATCTGTCTCTACTATAATTACAACAAAAAAAGTCGCACCTAAATGTATCAGGGTAGGCAGACTATCAAACTATGCAACTATGTCAATGCCAATGGGTTCCAACTAGCATGACTCGACATTGTTCAACGTTGGAATCCTGAAGATAAACAAATAGTTCTCCAAAATGTTCAAAGTCAACAAAGAACAAATAGCATTGAGTGCAGTCCCTTTCAGAGCAGAAGCCCACAACCCTTTGTTACAACAGACAAATCTGGCATTGTTAAGACTTCAGACGTTTGATACAAATGAAGTTCAATAAATGTGATAAGCCCAGAGTGACTTACCTCGTCGAAGAAGGTCTGCGTTTTTCTCAGGATATGCTTCAACTCTGTCAGCTCCAGAAAGTTCCTTTTGAGAGCCTCAGAGTTGGAGTTGACTTCCTTCATCTCGTTCTCCAGCTTCTCATATGTCGCCTGGTAGGGGAAAAACAGCCGCAAGTCAAATTAAAGAGCAGCATCTCATAATAGGTTTTCTTAGTTTCCATGCTTTACAGCACTTGCAACACAAAAAGGTCATATAAGTGCCGAAGATTAGAGGTGTTACAAGAGAGTAACAAACACACAACAGAGCACCCTCCAACCACCTACAAAGGTTTTCTGAGATGAGCGACGGCACAGTCTCATATCACACATAGCTAGTCAGCAAGGAGGTTTCTGGGATTGTTAAACAAATCAGACAAACATGTACCACCACATTGACCTAGACCGAGAGAGAGAGAGAGAAACAGACAGACAAACACACAGACACGCACACAGTCAGACAGACAGAGACAGAGAGAGTGACAGAGGGAGATATAAAGAATATAGCCAGTCAATCTATCTATCTACCTTGTCTGTAGAACTATTTTAAGCAACCAATATAAGTTACAATACATACTTATAATAACAACATACACCCCTATTCATGTATGTACGTATGTACGTATGCATGAACACATGTATGTGTGTGAGTATGAGTGTGTATGTGTGTGTGTGTATGTGCGTGCGTGCATGTGTGTGCATGTGTGTATGTGGGCATGGGAGTGTGTGTCTCTAGATGTGAGTTCATGATTGGGTGCATATACTTCTATACAGTTTTACGCTTATATAATTATTATCTTGAACACTGCGCATAGTATTATTATTGAAAAGCCCATTAATGTTCTCATCTGAGAACAACAGCAGCCCGTCAACACGGCAAAGCCATACACACTGAGAGGAAAAAGAAATGACAGGGAGTAGTATCAGAAACATTGTGAAGCAGGAAAAAAACCTTAAACTAATATACTAAAACAGTTTCATAAAATATGAGTTCACTGAAATTCAGAAAACCAAAGGCAAACATTTGTGACTGCTTGGTTTTGTGTGTGTGTGTGTGTGTGTGTGTGTGTGTGTGTGTGTG